GTAACAAATATGTTTCTTTGCAAAGAAACAAAAAAGCTAGAATTTGAGCTACACTTTTCATTGAAGATTGAAGCCCTAGTCACTGATAACTATTTCAGCCGTAGAAATGTCTGTATCTGTGTCTGAGCTTTGTCTAGAGAGGCGGCAGTAAGTCAGGATCGTTTCTGGTGACGGTTGGACTCTGCTGCACTTTGTCACCGATTCTGATCAAAACTTTTATGGACACAATTTCTAGTCGCAGCCAAGACGTTGTTTTTTGCCTCAAGATCAAGTCTCTGCTTTATGGAGAGAATCTGGTCCTGTTGGTTTCATCAGGTCAAGAACCTACGTGGTCTTGAGCCAGAAAACTGCCGTCTCTGGGTCGGGAGAAGAAGAGGTTCTGTTTAAGGGTGTTTTCACACCTGATAGTTTGGTAGACTCGGTTTGATTGTTATATTTTCAGCTGCTGTGGTTCTCCTAGTCAAACAAACCAAACCCTTTGAAAAACCTGTTCCCCTCCTCGTCTGTGGCGGCGCTGCACCGACAACCACTGAAGGAAACGACAGGAAAACCTCACAGAACAAGAGCGCAACTTCCTTCTTCACGAAATGTGAACACAAATGGAGTGGTTTCAGATTCTAGTGGTTGTAGGGTTTCTCTTTTGTCCTTTAAAAAACCATGAGCCATTTCTTGCATTTGTTTAGGTTGTATTTACCCAGAATGCCCTGCTTTTGGAGCGGTCTCTGGTCCGGTCCACTTGGGGTTCAAATATTCATGCGAACTGCACCGGACCTCACTTTAATCAAACTGACACAAAGGCTTGAAGGTGGACCAGAGTTAGATTTTTTTTCTTTAGTCCGCATCAGAGTTGAAATCAGAGTCTGACCCCAGAAACGCAGAAGATAATAGATGGATGGATGGAAAAGTTTATAATGAATGAGTAAAAACTGAAAAATTACCTGATTTTTTCCCCCCATGTTAATATTTTTGTATTTTGCACAAAAAGAGCAAATATTAAATGTATCTAAAATGACATCAGATAGATATATAATTAGTGGCATGTTTACCCATATGTGAAATTTAAGTTACTCTCGTTGTTTTGTTTCTGTTAACCTGAAAATCCTGTCTAGTTAAAGTTGTGAAACAAGCAAAAAAAAAAAAAAATCTAAGATTAATAACATTAATACTTAATATTTGTTGTTGTTTCATTCTTTTGTTTTGTGCCTCCATGAAAAAAAACAAAACAAAACAAAACACTGTGGCCCCACCTGCACCCCAAAGGGGAATTTGGTCTCATTAACAGGCAACAAAGTTTCTTTCCACCAATTTCTGTTTTACACTTTTACACGAAAGAAAAACCAGCTCATATTTTAAAGATTTTGTTTTAGTCTGCACTGAGGGAAGCCCTTTGAAAAAATAAAAAATGAAGACTCTTTTAGTATGATTTGTGACCTTCCTAAAATAATAACCAGTCTTTTAATTGTTTTTTGCCAAAAGTGATTTTAGCAAAATAAATAACTAATTAATATATATATATATATATATATATATATATATATATATATATATAGTGGGAAAAAAAAACTTTTGTCAAAAATCTCTTTTTTTTTTATTTTATTA